GAGCTGGATTTAAGTGATTAAACAAGTCTAGTACAACGTGTATAAAAGTTGGTTTAATATAAAGTGATCTAAGTCAATATGGATTCCTGTGTTCCAAGGTCTCACTAGCACCTGACACCATCCTGATTCCTCCTTCCTCAAGAAGATTTAAACTGGTGACAAGCATTTGTTTCTCAGAGTCTGCAAAGTGCTTTTAGCTGCGACAACAGGCCTTCTGATAAACGAAACATTGGTGAAGCCGCAGTACAAGAGTTCACGTGTCTAGAGACAAAACAGAGCTGCAGTAGGACCTCTGGTCCAAGCATTTTCCAAGTGAAGCTCGGTGGAAAGCTGAATCCAAACCTTTCCTCTTGATGTAACCAGAACCTGCAGGCTCTTCCTGGCATCTCCCAGAAAAAATACATGACCTACTGTTTGCAATAATCTCTCCTAATTTTACAACAATTCTTGGGAATGACAGAGAAACTGAACCAGACAGATCTTAGCATAGAAGTAGCAGCAAGACATCAAAGAACAGCCAGGTTTTGCGTATCAATAGTAAAACTTTATTTCAGGTATTCTCTTTAGTTATTTCAGGCACCCCGTGTTGTCCAATATACATCCTCATCACTGAACTATTTCCTTTGCTAATAGGCTCTTATAGGTTTACCTGGAAGTGTCTGCAATAGGCTAAAACCAGTCCTGTAGCTAAGGAAGAGAGATCAAAAAGATTTTTCTCACTCTTTCCGTTAATTTCACCCGGCTACTATCTGCAAATACAGTGAAACAATGTTCCTGTAACTTTAGAGTGCTTCTCAGGAGCGGAAGATTTTCATCAATTTGGCTACATCTTCCTCTCTTGTTGGTGGCTTCCTCTGGCTGCCAGGCTGCAGGAATTTCTTTATTGTTGGGATATTGCTTATTCTTGCTTTGAAGCTCTACCAAAAAAAAAAAGCAAAACAAGACCATGCTTAAGAATCATTGCAACTGTCAGACATTTCAATGGCATCCATGCCTGAAATCACATCACGGCTTGATGCTGCAGAAGAAACTATATGCTTCCCCCTCTTGGGCTTTTGGGAATGTCGTGACAGAATGTGGCAATAACAATGAGTATGTGAGGCCAGCTAGAAGCCCTCAGGGTATCTGATTATTCTGCATGTCACTTCTGACCCTCCCACTCTCCCATATTTCTCAGCCAGTTTAAATCAGTGGTCCATTCCCATTTATTTTCCATTCAAACTGCCCATTCATTTACCTGCAAGAGAGGAAATTTGGCAAGTATATCAGCTTTGTACTCCTCTGCCATTAAAATGACTTCCAGCAATTGAACATCTGCCCTGCTCAGCTGGTTGCCGACAAGAAAATCTTTTCCATGGTCTTTCAAAACCTAAAAAGAGAGAACCAGAAGGAGATGATGTCTTTCCTCTCTGTTACTTAATATGATATCTTCAAAGCAGGGTCACACATTGCATGGAGTTGTCTGTGAAAGAAGGAAATGCAGTTCAAACTCCTGTAGTACAAACAATGACCTGATGGCACTGCCATCCAAGGCATTATCTATCAGCTCTTTCTCTCCTACATTTCTGTCTGGAAACTCAGTTGAGCTCATCTTCCCTTGGCTGCTGTTGCTGCATTGAAGGCTAAGCTTTATGAGATACAAAAGGAACTGTAATGCTTTTACATAGCATGTATGGTAGGGGGGCATCAGCATGTCAGGAGAAAACTTGTTGTCAAAGCAGATGCTGTAGTGCCTTCCCTCTGAAACAACACACAGACTGAAACGTGGACATTTGGGAACCTCAGGGTTTGATGGAGTTTTGCAGCTTTACACCTCTCCCAGACTGAAGTGCCTTCTGTCCACTCTGAAGTGTCATGGCTCCACATTACTCCCAGCACCACCAAAAACAGAGCATTTATATTCCAGTGGTACTTTCTCTTCTGGTTTCTTAAAAAAAATTGGTGTGCTTTCAGGATGGAGGATCAAGGTAGCAGCATCAATTGAGCTACAACCTCTTTGCCACATACCTTCTCAAAAACAGGGAAGTATCTATTTTCAGCCTTGTCCATCATATTAGCAAAATGTTGCTCCTTTTGATCTGCTGGTTGAAAAACATAAGGCATGAGTAGCTCATTCAGATCGAATAATCCTTCCACGTACATATCGATTCTGAAAGGATTAGATCCATTTGGGCAGGTCAAACACAGAGGTCTGAACAGCACAAGAAATCCTGGCATAACCTCAGTGAGATGCTGGGAAATCCCTGCCTCTTTCATCTCACACACACACACACACACACACACACACACCCCCTGGCAAAGTTGCAAAGTTCCCCCGGGAATGCACTTGCACTGCGGGCAGGAAGCAGGGGGAAGCTTGGGTGAAAGACAAATGCAAAATTCCCAGGCAAAACATAAAGAATCGTACCCCTTTCACTTCTCACTAGGACTGACACTTCTCTGGACTATGGGTTGTTGAACCTGAACAAAATATTGCCATGTGTGCCATCCAAACTCGTGTTAAAAA